CAGTGGTCTGAATATCTGTCGAGTTTACTGGTCGGTCTAGCATGCCATATGACATCAGTGTGCCAAGAGACCTGAAAATAGGTAAGATACTGTCCGCCTAATGCGTCTACTAAACCCTAGTTGCCGCACTGGCAAGCAGAGGATACGGTACCGATGCGGTTCACGCATGACCGACTGACTGCCAGGGGTTTAGTTACTTTCTACATAATTATAGAGAGAGATCCAACACAAATAATACATACTTCTCCCCTCATTTTAAGTGATCATTACAACCTATTAAAACGATGCAGGTTAGGCCATGCCACAGTATAGATATATTATTTTAGTTTTTGGCATATCTGCTCTCTTATATTTTTCTTCTGCATTTGAATGAAATCCTGAAATACTTCAAAGTTATTTCGGAGGGAGAATAATGCTCTTCTCTCACTCTCCACAGGCCTATAAAAATAATGTCTAGGACAGTTCAATAAGCCTCTCAGGAAACGTATTAGACGCTCTTACTTCCGGAGTGAAGTAATAAGTTTTCGTCTAATAGACAAAATGTGAAATCCTTCCTGATTCTACAAGATGTTCGAATATAGCACATACAATATATTTCCCATCTTATGAAGCGCGAATCGAAATTCTGAATGTGTTCTTGACTCGAACTACCAGGGTGGCAAAGTTTTGACAATTAGATCAATCGAATTAAGTAAATGTTTTAAGAGACTTGATTAGAGAACAGTTCCTTCAACATAAAGAAAATGATATGCGCAGAATTTCACCTGAGGATTATAGTTACATTTGTTGGCATAATTTTAGCCATCTTTTCACGTCTGCGGAACACGAGTATTGTTTAGGGAGTATGACTTTTCTCAAAAAAAAGTAGTATTTTTGTATCACTTTGAACATACTTCAGTCACGTCAGAAGGCTGACTTTTGAACGAGTTTCGCCTTGACCGTCTGCGAACAGTATGTTATGTAAAAAATGGCCTCTTATGTAGTATGCATTTTTCGCATTGATGTTCACTGCTATTCCAGATTTAAATATATTTTGTATAAAAGACCAAAATATTTCTTTCTTGCTGTGGTTTGGTAGAATTGCATACTTCAAAATTCCACCCTTCGTATTTCAAAAACGTTTCTAATTATAAGATTTTTTACGACCACCATGACGTTTGCATTTAGTAAGTAGTGCACATGTCCATTTAATAACGCTGCCTGTAAATTGCATACCTTGGTCCCCATCCAAAGAATTTGACGCACAGTTTAAATTCTGCATGCCTAAACCAATCGGGGATTTCCTATTTCATTTAGTAAAATAAGTAGGAAGTACCTTTTCCTGCAAGCCTGTTATCTTCTACATTTATACGAGATCCGGATATATTTAGTAGTTATTCCGAAGGGAAAATAATGCACTTCTCTCATTTCTCACATCTATACAAATGATATTTGGGGTTGTTCAATTACTCTCTCAGGAAACGTACCAGGCGCTTTCACTTCCGCCGTGAAGTACTAAGTCTGTTCGTCCATTAGAACGACCGGTGCATAAGTCATGTACAAGGCCGAAGTTTGCTAAAGGTTGATAAACACTCGCAAACCAGTATCAACGCATGAATGAAAACCTAAAAAGGATAGTGAGCAAGCTTTGACAAATTTGCTATCTTAAGGAAATGTAAGAAGTTTTAATTGTTTGTTAAGAAAAATGATGTTTTTATAATTCCAAAATTCCAGAGATGTAAACAATTGCTATAACTTAGTACAGCAAACTTAAATCGTATTGTCGGTTTAAATAACAATCGAACTTATAAAACTTTTTCTCGAATCGAACGTTTTAGGTAAGTATGGCTGTAATAATGATTATCGAGCAACGTAATTTCAAGATATCTCAGTCACGCCAAGTTGCCAGCTTTTGAACGAATTTCTCGTTGACCGTCAGCAAAGGCTATATTCTGTAAAAACTGACTACTGAAGCAGTCTGCATTTTTCTCATTGATATTCACTGCTCTTCTGCATTTAAGTATATTTTGTACAAAAAGGCACAAAATAGTTCTGTCTTGTATTGGTTTGGATGAATTAAGTACTTGAAAAAATAGCATCTTTTGGGTTTCAAAAACGATTCTGATTATGAGATTTTTCACAACCAGGAAGCGTGCATTCATAAATTAATGCTAATTTCCATTTATCAGTGCTGCTTGTACAACTTGTTTCACCTCCAACGCAGTCCACGCACAATTCAAACTCCCTATGCCTAAAAAAATCTGAAATTTCATATTTCATCTACGAAAGTAAGGAAAAACTACCTTTTCCTGGGAGCCTGTTGCTGTGGACAGTAGGTGAGCCTGCTGAAATGCCATGCACTGTCCACCTCTTGCTAGCACTTTCGAATTCTCAGTTGGCTTGACTGCAGTGTTACAGTTTACTGCTAATATATAACATTTTTATACGACCTAAATTGGGGAATATTTACTTCCTGCGCGCGTTTTCTCTCCCTCTGTCTCTGTCTCTATCTATCTGTCGGCTA